ATTCTCAGGACAGAATTGTATTGCTAACAGCCCAATAGCACCTGATTTCAATGTGACTAGTTTGGAATGTGAGGATGTGACCGTTCGCTTCCCAGTTTATGGCTGCCTCTGCTGCTTAGCCAGAGACCTTACCTAAGAACAGGGTCTCAGACCGTCACAGTGAGAAAAGTCAGACAGTGATTTTGATTCTTTCTTTTGTACCTCTATAACTAGCTAAATGATAAACATATACCTAAATTCTTAAAGAATAGGCCTTTGCAGACAGGCTTGAATATCTATATCCTAACAAGAGCAGAGCAAGCCCCTGTGCCCCAACCGCATTTCCCAGCAGGAGCACGGAGCGGGGCGGGGGAACAGAGGGAGGACTGCAGGCAGAAGGGGTGGGGAGAGGCCCCCACTTGCTCTGGCCAAGGGCCCCACAAACCCCTAATCCCCCTCTGTTTAGCATAAGCACATATTTTAAGGCAGTGGTTCTCAACCATGGGTCAGCAGCTCCCTGGGGAGCTGTGAGCCAGTTTCAGGGAGTCCGCGAGCTGCGGTGCCCTGTGAGGCAGAAGCCCTGAGCCCATGAGCGGAGTTGGAGGGGCACATGGGGGGCATTGCCCCCCCAAACTGCAGAGCCCTAACCAGAGCAGGCAGTCCCAGGGACAGCTCCACACTTCCCCCTTGCCTCCTCTCCTCCACTTCCCCAGGGCCCCGTCTCGCAGCCAGGTCAGAGGCCAGAAGCTGGAGCCAGGCATTGTGGGGCGGCTGCTGCTCTTGCTGGTGCCATGGAGCAGTCAGCCACCTCCTCTGTCTGCTGCTGGTGCTCCGGCTCAAGGGATGCAGCTGCTCCTCAGCTCCCAGGCTCCTTTGACTGCTTGTGCAGCAGATAAGAGCTGCCTGGTGGGGAGAACCGGCTCCAGGGCTGGCAGGAGGGGGTCCTCCAGCCCCTAGCTACCCTGTTCCTGTATCCTGAGCTACCCGCACACAGCCCTTAGCTACTCCTCTCCCTGCATGCTGAGCTACCCCACTCCCTGCACCCTGAACTACCCCCATGCCTGCACACACCCTCTAGCTCAGAGGTTTTCAACCATTTTCTTTCTGAGGCCACCACAACATGTTATAAAAACTCCATGACCCACTGTGCCACAACAACTGGTTTTCTGCATATAAAAGACAGGGCCGGTATTAAGGAGTATCAAGCATGGCAATTGCCTGAGGCCCTATGACACAACACTATGTTGCTCAGGCTTCTACTTCAGCTACAAGTGACAGGGCTTAGGGCTTCAGCCCTGAATGGTGTGGGTTTGGCTTTCTGCTCTGGGCCCCAGCAAGTCTAATGCTGGCCCTGCTTGACAGACCCCCTGAAACCTGCTCGTGGCCCCCCTGGGAGCCCTGGACCTCTGGCTGAGAACCACTGCCCTAGCTATCCCTTCCTGCACCTGAGCTACCCGCACACAGCCCTTAAGCTACCCCTCTCCCTGCACCCTGAGCTACCCTCCCCACCTGCACACAGCCCCTAGCAACCCTACTCATTACACCCTGAGGTACCCCCACAACTGCACACAGCCCCTAGCTCCCCCTCCCTGCATGCTGAGCTACTCCCTGCCTACACACAGTCCCTTGCTACCCCCTCCCTGTATCCTGAGCTACCCACCCCTGCTTGCTCACAGCCCCAGCTATCCCCTGCCTGCATTCTGAGTGATTTTTAAACTTTTTGAGCTGAGCTTCTCCCTTTCAGTTATAATTTTTGGTTGTTCTGCCCCCCAGCCCAACAGGCTAGATGGCCTGCTGAGGTGAGTCAGGGAGTGGAGGTGGCGATCCCTCCCTGGGCCCTGTTGTGCAGAGCTGGCCTCCCAAAATAGAAGTCAAACTACATCTACGGAGGGCACCCCCATGTCTAGCGCCCCACAGGGCTAAAGCCCCAAGCCCCTCCATAGATGTGGGACCTAGGGATGTGGGGGTGCTGCAGCACCCCAGGTTTTATGTGGGGCTCTGCTCCCGGCCCCACATGCAGGGTCCCAGTCCCACGCCTGGGGTTCTGCTTCTGGCCCCCAATGCGGGGTCCCAGCTGCCAGCCCTGAGACAAGGATTCAGCTCCTGGCCCCACATGCAGGGTCCCAGCCCCGCACCTGGGGCTCTGCTCCCTGCCCCACACATGTGGTCCCAGTCCCGCACATACGGGGTCCCAGCTGCTGGCCTGACGCCCACTCCCAACCTCAACCCCCTTACCTCTATCGGGGTCCCCCATTCCCATAGACATGGCCCTGCTCCCAGACCCACCGCTGGAGGGAAGGGGGAGGGGTTGTTTTTCCCCACTAGTAAAAGTGTTCCAGCGCCACTTTTCCCCTCCCCGCCCGGTAGCTGGAGCCCAGACACCCCCTGCCACAGGGCTAGCATGTTTGGGGACATAGGCACCCGACCCCCATTCTGCCCCCGCCCCCATTCCGCCCCCGCCCCCATTCCAACCTCTTCCTCAAAGTCCCTGCCCCAACTCCACCCCATCCCTGCCTCCATTCCAACCCCTTCCCCAAAATCCCCACTCCCTCTCTGCCCCTATTCCAACCCCTTCCCAAAATCCCTGCCCTGGCCCCACCTCTTCCCCTGAGCGCGTAGCATTCCCGCTCCTCCCCCCTCCCTCCCAGAGCTTGTTACGCTGCGAAACAGCTGTTTTGCAGCGGCAAGCGCTGGGAGAAGTGGGGACACGGCGCGTTCAGGGGAGGAGGCGGAGGTGAGGGGGGGCGGTGAGGGGAGCTTGGCTGCCGGTGGGTGCAGAACACCCACCAATTTTTCCCCGTGGGTGCTCTAGCCCCGGAGCACCCACAGAGTCGGCGCCTATGTTTGAAGGGACTCAGAAAGAAAAAGGTTGAGGACCGTGTTCTAAGGGATCATTCAAGGTAGAGTGGCTCAAAAGCTTGTCTCTTTTACCCAGCAGTTCTCAAACTGTGGCTCAGGATCCCAAAGTGGGTCATGACCCCATTTTAATGGGGTCTCCAGGCCTGGCATTAGACTTGCTGGGGGCCTGGGGCTGAAGTCAAAACCTGAGCCCCCCCGACCTGGGGCTGAAGGCGGCATTCTGGCTCAGGTTTCGGTTCCCCCCAACTGGGGTCATGTAGTAATTTTTGTTGTCAGAAGGGGGTTGTGATGCAATGAAGTCTGAGAACCGCTGCCAACAGAAGTTGGTCCAATGAAAGATATTACCTCATCCACTTTCTCTCTCTACTATCCTGGGACCTACACAGCTATATCTCCCCTGATTTTGTCATACTTTCTGGTATAGATGGGGACTAAATGATTCCTATTATACTTCTCTGTGAGTCCTGTCACTTAATGCATATAGTGTGAGTTATGTCACCTGGAATGCCTTCTCTGGATTGCGTCATCAACACTGAGCTTCTTTTGAAAATCTCCACAAACCCACCAGTGGTATGACAACCATGGGAAAGCTGGTGTAAACTAGCCACTGGCATTTTTACTTCCTACGCAGCAGTGCTAGAGGACAAAGTACAGTAGCAAAAATGCCAGTTTCCATCGACATTAGTACTCCCATTTTTTCTGTCACTGCAGCGCTACAGCAATGCTAGGAATATTTCAGAAGAAAATCCATGTAGATGAAGCAAAAGTGATGGAATTATTTGATTACCTGCAGCTTCAGTGTTATTGACAGAGAGGAACAAAGGTGAATGTGGATGGCATTCAATGGACCTCAAAGTCATTTTTCTCTGTCTTTGAATCTGAGCTCAGTATGTTGGTCATGACAGTAGAAGAGTTACTGATCAGTCCTTGCATGTAAATTGAATTTATGGACCTGTCTGTTCAACCCAAGAATTAATTAGATGAATTTAACAGGAGGTCTTTTCTCTCCCCTTCATTTATTGCTGGTCGCTCTTTTATTATCTATTGCCCAAAAGAGAATATAAATAAAATGAATGTGAAAACCTTCTGCTATAGCAAGCCTTTAATTAAAGGAAAAGCTAAGCAAGGACAGTCACGCACAATATGCTGCAAATCCAAAGAGTAAAAAATGCTGAGAATCTCAGTAAAAACCTTGAGAACGTTAATATCTTAATGAAAATAAATATAAATGAATAAGCCTTGGGTGAAAATACCAAAAGCAGCCATTTTCTTAATGGGTATAATGCAGAGTGTCACCAATAAATCGTCAGAAGTAAGAAAAATGCCATAGTTGTTATATTTTCATGGGACTCAGACCAAATCAATTATCCTTTCACCCCAATGCCTGTCAAAAATATACATATCTTAATTTGGGTAAGAAAATGGTAATGCTGATTGGCAAGCATATTAAGGATGTGGTGAAATCTAAAATCACTCCCTCTCGGTTGAAGGCAAAATTGATGTCAAAGGGGTCCATAGTCTTTGTATTTTACTAAACTTATTGCTGCCCCTGGATTTCCAGAGTGGGGCCAGGAACACTTACTTTCATCTTTGTCTGGCCAACTATGCACAGAGAGGTTTCAAGGGCAGCAGCTAGGGAAGTAAAATGCAAGAGTCACAGTTTGATGAAGTGAGCTGTAGCTCACGAAAGCTCATGCTCAAATAAATTGGTTAGTCTCTAAGGTGCCACAAGTACTCCTTTTCTTTTTACAGTTTGTAATGAACGTGGAACCCACGTGTGACAATTTAAGGAATCAGTCTATGTACCATTTATGGATTTTGTGTGGGATTTTGAACTCTGTATCTATCTTTATTAAGCTGCAAACTCAATTTTGACTGTAAGGATGCTCTTCGTGCTCTGTCTTTTTACCTCCCTCTTGGGATGAAATCCGAAGGGGTGATAAGTGGCCACGCAGGGCTAACAATGGAGAAACATTTAACCATGACCGACCTCTATTCAAAGGGGAGCCCCTTCGGCACAGAGTTGGGCGTCACCGCGGGCAAACCACTTTGTCAAGAGATTCTGCCCCTGCTGCGCCAAAGCCACTCGGCGCCATGCGTCGCTCCCGCCTCAGCCGCTGCGGCTCTGACTGGTCGCGACGCCTGCCCCCATTTGCCCCCTCCTGGGCAGAGCTGCTTCAAAACTCTCTCCCTGGCGCTGCCCCCTCCAGCACCGCAGCACGCCGCCAGCCTAGGGGCCGAACCCGGAAGAGCCGCTGGGAGTCCGGCAGCTCTGCTCCCCCTGCACTCCTGAGGGGCAACCAGACGGTTCTTCCCTCCGCCCCGCAGCAGCACGCCTGAGACTGGAAGGCAGGAGCAGCCCGGCCGCTGCCCATCCGCCAGGCCGAGGAAAGGGACAGCGAAGCCCAGCAAGAGGCGAGGTTAGGCGCGGGGAATTGCCGGGCAGGTGAAGGCACCTGGCCCCGGCCCTGCGAGTTCAGTAGGGCGTTGCTGGGATGATGTAACTGGGGATTGGTCCTGCTTTGAGCAGGGGGTTGGACTAGATGACCTTCTGGGGTCCCTTCCAACCCTGATAGTCTATGATTCTATGGTTTGGAGAGCTGGGTGTGACTGTGGGGGTCGGCCACGTGGCCTGTGCTCTGGCGAGAGGGGTCTGGCGCATGGAGACGTATCGGCTCCAGCCTGCATTTGGGGGCGACCCGCTTCCACCAGAACAGCTTTAATGAAAACGCATGTTCTGTCAGTTTGGTCCCGCGCGGGACCTGTAACGCGCCGCCGGCCCCTGCTCTCCCAGCCCTCGCTGGTCCAGCGAGTCCTAGGAGGAAAGGAAGGAACTCCGAAGAAGACTGCGCAATGCGCCTGCGCAGTCGAGGTTCTTGCGCGGTAGGAGACGTTGGGCGACGGAATGGGGCGGTGCCTGCGCAATAGGCAGGCCAAGTTAGCCCGCTGTGAGGCCGCCGCATTGCGCGTGCGCTAGTGGCGTACCGCCGCTAGGTTGTGCCTGCGCAAAGGGTGGGGGAATGTGGCTGTGCCTTGCGCCTGCGCAGTAGGCGGTGGCGAGCGGGGCCGCTGCAGGGCAAAGCGTCTGTGTGGGAGGCAGGTTGGTGGGCGGCAGCAGGCTCGAGGCTGAGGGCCGGTAGGGGCGAGCCGGGTGGCGGTACCGCCGCCATGTTGCGGCGACTGCTCGCGGCGCTTATTCACCCTTGTTTTGTCCCCAGCAGCGGCGGCGACGGGAGCAGCATGTTCTACGCGGTGCGCAGAGGCAGGAGGATCGGAGTCTATCAGAGCTGGTGAGGGTGGCTGCTTCCGGGTGGTCCCCACTCCCATGCCGGCTGGGGCCTCCTCCCCGTACGGGGCAAGGCTGGATCCCCCTCCCCTACTAGGCCTTGCCCGGCGGGCTCCTTCAGCCCCTCAGGTCGGGGCGCCGTGTCGCCTGAGCGGCCAGGGAGCCCGGGCTTGCGCGTCGCCCCGGGGGAGGAGGAGGAGGAGCCCGCGGGGTCCTGTCCCATCCCTGTGGCCGCACGGCTCCTGCTGACGGCCCGCCTGTCGCTGCTGTGTTGCAGGGAGGAGTGCCGAGAGCAGGTGAACAGGTACCCGGCCGCCAGCTTCAAGAAATTTGCCAGCGAGGCAGAGGCTTTGTCCTTTGTGGGCAGCGAGGCGCGGCAGTCCTCATCCTATTCAGCAGGTAGTGCCGCAGCGAGCCCCGTCCACCCTTCCCTCCAGCGGGCAGCGTCTGTACAGGAACATAGGTTTGGCAGGACGGCCAGGGGTATCCAGTCCAGTGCCCTGCTGGCAACCCCATCACATGTCTCCAGGTGTATTTCCTGTTAGAATTATGTGTATTGCGATGGTGACAGCTCTTGCTCCAAGCAACTTAGGCTCTAAGGCTAGGTCTCCACTACGAACCTAACAGCAGCATAGCTGTACTGCAGACATGCCAAACCTGCCAAAAAAAAAAGCACAAATTGGGCTTGTTTTTGGCCTAATTGGCTTGTGAATTGCTCGTTGGCTAGTTTTTAGCTTGTTTGTTTGTCCTGTTTCTTGCTGTAGCTTGTTGCTCTTTTTTAATTCTGCTCCAGGCAAGCAGGGGCAAGGGAGGGAGCGAGGGTCAGGGGTGCACAGGTTTCAGAGTAGCAGCCGTGTTAGTTTGTATTCGCAAAAAGAAAAGGAGGACTTGTGGCACCTTCGAGGCTAACCAATTTATTTGAGCATAAGCTTTCGTGAGCTACAGCTCACTTCATCGGATGCATACTGTGGAAAGTGTACAAGATTTTTTTTTATACACACAAAGCATGAAACAATACCTCTCCCCACCGCACTCTCCTGCTGGTAATAGCTTATATAAAGTGATCACTCTCCTTACAATGTGTATGATGATCTAGTTGGGCCATTTCCAGCACAAATCCAGGTTTTCTCACCCCACTCTCCCCCTGGTGTGAGTGTGTGTGGGGGTCTGTGTGTGTGAGAGAACCTGGATTTGTACTGGAAATGGCCCAACTTGATTATCATACACATTGTAAGGAGAGTGATCACTTTAGATAAGCTATTACCAGCAGGAGAGTGGGGTGGGAGGAGGTATTGTTTCATGGTCTCTGTGTATATAATGTCTTCTGCAGTTTCCACTGAATGCATCCGATGAAGTGAACTGTAGCTCACAAAAGCTTATGCTCAAATAAATTGGTTAGTCTCGAAGGTGCCACAAGTCCTCCTTTTCTTTTTGCGAATACAGACTAACAGGGCTGTTACTCTGAAACTGTAAGGAGAGTGATCACTTAAGGTGAGCTATTACCAGCAGGAGAGCGTGGGGGGGCAGGGGGGGAGACACCCTTTTGTAGTGATGATCAAGGTGTGGGCCATTTCCAGCAGTTGATGAGAATGTTTGAGGAACAGTGGGGGGTGGAGGGGGGGAATAAACATGGGGAAATAGTTTACTTTGTGTAATGACCCATCCACTCCCAGTCTCTATTCAAGCCTAAGTTAATTGTATCCAGTTTGCAAATGAATTCCAATTCAGCAGTCTCTCCTTGGAGTCTGTTTTTGAAGTTTTTGTTGTTGTTGAAGTGCAGACCGCATGCTGGCGGGATCTAGTCACATAGAGTGTTGGGATTCTTAAGGGATTGGCTTGTTTGGGCCTCATTTTGGAATGGGATTAGCTTGTTTTTTGTCTTATTGTGAAAGTTGGGATGCCTATCTACTGCATGAAAGTTGGCAACTGTGCTGTACTGCTGTAAGGTCTCCCGTGTATCTGTTCTTTGCTGGCAGAAGAGAGCTCTCCTGCCAGCATAATTAAACCACCTCCAATGAGCAGCATTAGCTGTGTTGTCAAGAGCTGCCCACACTAGCACTTTTGTCAGTGAAATTTATGACCATCCAGGGTATGTGTGTGGTTTTTTGTTTTTTGTTTTTTTCACAACTCTAACCAACAAAAGTATAGTGTAGACAAAGCCCAAGGCCTGGACTGCACTTAAAAATTGGGATGACCTAGCTACATCCCTGAGAGGTGTGAAAAATTTCACACCTGGAGTCATGTACTTGGGTCGATTTTAACCCCCTGTGTAGATCTAGGTCAGCTGCAGAATTCTTCCATTGCCCTAGGTACCATCTCTGAGAAGTGGATTAGCTATGTTGATGGGATCTAGATGTAGGAAGCACCTATGCTATGGCACTACAGTGGCACAGCTGCAGCATTGTAGTTGAGTTTCAGTACTGTGGACATACTTTTTAGTATCTGACAAGAGACAGATGCATACCGGTAGATGGGGAGTACAAGTAAACAATGAGATCATATAGGTCGCCATGAGAAGCAGTGGTCTCAGCACACCAAAGCTTCATCTTAAAAAACAAGCTAGGTTTCTTGTCCTTACCACAGTTGGAAGGCTGTTCCAGAACTAATGGGTGTTGCTTCCAAAGCAACAGCAGGTAAAAGTAGGATATAATAGTCTGATTTTTTTTTCTGAGATGCAGGCACCCTCACAACTTCCTCCCTGCTCAGCGTCTCTGAAAACTATACCATGTTGTGTGGTATATATTATATTTTGTATCCTATAACTCAAGAGGTCCTCAAACTGGGGTGTGCCTCCCTAGGGGGGGCATGGAGGAAAGTTCAGGGGGGCATAGTGGGGCCCGGGCCTGCCATCCGGGGGGACAGGGAAGGAGTGCCACCCCAGCACTGGTCCAGCTTCTGAATGTGGCTATGTGGGGCGGGGGGGGGCACAGATTCCGTTATTGGCAAGGGAGGGGTGTTACAAAGTTTGGGGACCACTGTTATAACTGAATGTAAATCAGTTGCTGTTGCACAGAGGGACTGATGAATTACTGTCAGAAAAACTTCTTTTATCATGAAGCTAACTAGAATATTTCCATAATTTTCCCTACTGTTATAGTTGAAGGGGTGTTTAACAAGGCATGCCCTCTGCTCTTCTTCCACTGCATACAGAGAGCACTTGGAGACTCTGATTGTAAACACAACGTGTGGTTTATTTATGGTGTTTCCCCCTCCCCTTTGCAGCATCTTATTTACAACAGCATATTATCTTTAACCCCCTAGGTCAAGGACAGGAAAAGTGGGAAATCTGTCTTGGGACTAACTCTGAGACACTGTTTCTCTCCCCCTGTGCTTTATCTACCTTCTGAGCTAATGAGTTTATTAGCCTTATAGCTCTCTGCAGCCCATCCCCAATCTGTCCGTTAGTCACAACTGTCATAATCAGTTTTATTTCCAGGCAGCTAATTGGAGATACAGTGACCAGAGTGGTAGTTCATCTGCTGTTGCCTAGCACTCTGTCACAGGGTGGCATTTTCAAAAGGGCCCAGCACTGGCTTTTAATGGTTGTAGAGTTAAGGCAATGCTGAGTGCTTCTGAAAATCTGCTCTGAGCTCCTCTATCCTCAGTATCTAGTAAAACATACAGGATAAGAAAAAATCAAAGATGGCTTTGGATTAGTTATGTGAGGTATTGTTGTTTTCTGTGGAACTTTAATGCTCAGCCTTAGTATTGAACTCCTCTTCTAAAGTTAAATTCATTATGCTACTACTAGATTTTTCATTTCTAATTATCAATTTTATTTTAATATATTTACTCCTGTTTAAAAATATTGCCACAGATAAAAATATCCAGGAAACACAAAAGCAAATTTCTAACATTAAAACATGAAGCTGTGCTCCGCTATACACAATATAGAAAATACTACATGTGTGCAACATGGCTGCGTTAATTTATGAACCTTAATGTCTGCATGTCCCGATTGCTGAAATTTCAGCATAGCGTTAATGATGACTTGTACGTTTATTTGTGTTCTCTTTTTAAAAAAGAAATTGTTCGGGATTAAAGGGATGGTGTGAACTTTAACTTGGTACTTCTGCCCTAATGTTTTCCCTAGTTCAACAAATAACTTCTAATACTACTACAATTAGGCATGCATATTATAACTTTTTTTTATATTTGTGTATAATACTGGTTTTTTCCTAAGGTACTAGTGGCATATCTAGTTTAACACAAGAGAGTGACAGCTACTGGAATGAACTGGAAACAGCAAGCCCAAGTTACAGCAAATGCAAGAGACCATATGAGCAGTCTTCTGAGGAAGAACCTAACAAAAAACATGTAAAATACAATGAGACATATTCGGCACCTTCAGTGAGCAAAGATAAATTCTCATATATGGGTAAGCCTCTTTGGGACTACAATTTATTGGAGTACATTGAATGAATATAAAGTATTTTAAACAGAGTATTTAACAACTCCCTAAAGTTACTTCTCTCGCTAACAGCCAAAACCTGGTTCAAGTTGAAATTCTCTAGTGTGAAGAAGCTTTGGCATGTTTTTTTTTCTGTGAGAAGCCCTCAACTCTTGCTGCTTGGTTTTACAGTGTAAATCTAACATTTTACGGTATGCCTGGAATGTTATCTCTTCTAGCCCCTAGTCTTCCCTAATGGGTGATCCAGGTAGGGCATTGAAGAACCTTTTATTGTTTTGCGTGGGAGAACGGGATATCTGAATGCAAGCATTACAATTCTGGCTTTCTAATAATAATGTTTCGAGTGCCTTCAGAGCAATAATAAATTTAAGTAATGTTATGGTCAAGCATATTTTGAGTATATAACTCTAGCCTTTATTACATAGGTTGATTTGGCCACTGTAGACAGGATGAAATAATATTTTAACTGATACAGAACCATGTCAGAACCCTAAGTAAATACACTTGCGAGAACACATTTAAACATGTATTTTAACTTTTCATTGTGGCTGATGGCCATCTTAAAAAAATTGGGACCTGGAGTTGGGGGCATGAAGCTCTTCCACACAAGCATCTTCTTCAGGGTTGGCAAAAATTTAAGTTCTTGTGAAAAAGGGGGGGGCTAAAATTATTTTAAAGATTATGCACCTGTGCAAAATGATATATACAACTTCTATGTGTAGAAGTTGCTAGAGCATTATTGGAGGAAATATAAATGTTAACAATTTTATGTATTTTAAAGAGGCTTATGCTTTTGAATAATTGAAAATTGTTTTGTGACTTTTTAAATAGGTTGCATGTATCCATCTCTTACAGGTGACTCTGTAGTTGTTTATACAGATGGCTGCTGCTCAAGTAATGGGCGTCGTAAGGCACGTGCTGGAGTAGGAGTCTATTGGGGACCAGGCCACCCTTTGTAAGTAACTTTTGAGATCATAGTTAAATCGCTTGCTGTAGAAAAACTTACTAATATTGGTCTTGTGTAATTTAACACTTAAATTGTATGGCCTTTAAATTCAGCAACTTCAGAATGCAAAACACAGTTAGTTGACTAAGACTTTCACCAAATTAGATAGATAAAGAGCTAGAAAGAGTAAACTCAGTTATTAAATTGGAATATTGAATGACAGCCATCACTGAATGCAGAAATAAAGGTGCCTGTAGAGGTTAGAAATGTAGGCAAAATATAACAAGACTCACCTTGCATTTGTCCAGGCTAATATCTTGGGGAAGGTTTAATTTAGGTTCTCATTAAGTGGTTTCATAAGTTTACATATAATTATATTAAATTGACTGATTTGTTCTCAACCTGCAGTAGGAACAGGGCCAAGCATGCCCAAATTTCAGATTGTTTGCCACTTAAAAACTTTAGTCCCCCTAAAGGGGAGGTTTTAGTTATGCCCCTAATCTGTGGCTATACACTTCTGCAGTAGTGTGAACCATTAATTTATTTTGTGTTGCTTTTAAACAGAAATACTAGTGATAGGCTTTCTGGACGGCAGACCAACCAAAGAGCTGAAATACATGTAAGTTGTGGAGTTTTAAAATTGTTTTATACTTGTGGAAAAGAATTGAGCACTATAATGCCACAACTTAATTAGCTGCAGAAGCTCCTAGATATTCTCACACATTCAATAGTTTTAGTAGGGCTCTGCTGTGAGGGATTTTGCAATGATACAAGTCAAAAAGGAAGCTGCTGATTCTGCTAACAGTATTTCTGCATAGGAGTTGGCAGAGTTGCTTTCTGGAACTCCCATTGGCTTGTTCTCTGTTTCTGGGGTTTCTACCTCAAATATTTTTTGTATTTAGTTCTGTTCATCCTGTCTCAAGGAAGACAGCTCAGAAGTAGAGAGGAGTTCAGAGACAAATGATGGCAAGACTTTCCTATAAAAGATAACATTAGGACTGTTCAGTTTTAGATATGAAATGAACAACAGTGGGCATGGTGGAGGTCTACAGAATGATATCTAGTGTAATGAAGATAAAATGGTGCTCCTATTGGAAAGAAAAGGAAAATCCAATGAAATTGAAAGGACATTCAGAAACGATACAAGAAAATACTTTTTAACACAATGCATCACTAACCTTTTAAACAACAAAATATCACTGATGTCAAGACCTTAGGATTCAAAACAGCATTAGACATTTATGTGGATAATCAGAACATCCACAGTTCTATTAGAGGAAAATAGCCAGGATGTAAACCCTCATGGTTGAAGGGGTGAGCCAATCATTAGCTGGCAGGATTAAGAAGTTTCTTCTGTGGACTAGTTATTCCATAATTGGCTTCTCTGTCTTCCACTGAGGCACGCTGTATCTTGTCTCTGACAGACTTCTAGACTGTGGGATGTCTGATATGTTCCTGCAATTTTTGTGTGTCTGTCTTCACAGTAAATTCTCTAGTTGTATTTCTTCTGTATGTATTTTTTTGTTCACAATCTTCTGAATTATGATTGAAACACATCCTTTAGGCAGCCTGCAAAGCAATAGAGCAAGCAAAGAGTCAAAACATCAAGAAACTGGTTATTTACACTGACAGCAAGTTCACTATAAATGGTAAGTTAACTATTTCAGTTCTACTGTGTATTGAATGTAGAACATGTACCTTCACTGTATAAGCCTTACAAATCTGTTTCTGTAAAACTGTTTGGGGGATGTGTGTGTGTGTGAAGGGATTCTTCATAACTCATTTCAGTTCCCAGTAATAGCAGGGAAAAGAACATTCTCCATAGCTTGCCAAAATCATATCTACTGTTTTTGTATCAAACTCTGGAATAGACAGGATACCTAGTTTAGCAACTGATGTAGGAAATATTTTAAAATATCAGATACTGAACATCTATAATAAAAGATCCTCTGGCAGAAGCAAAGGGTGCAGTATACAAAATGGTGTATTCATTTTAATACCAAACCTATAAATGTAGGCTGTATATCTGAAAAGTGGCCAGCAAGTAGCATTAGGAAAATGGCTGTTCTTTCTCTTCTCCCCCCCTTCTTTTTTTTTTTTTTTTTTTTTTTTTTTTGCTTTGATACAAAAACAGAGCCTGAAACACTTCAAGATTGTTCTGCTTGTTTTTACCTCTATAAATGTTGTTCAAGTCTATCCTTCCCTGGTTTAAATGGAGGACTGCTGGAGGATGGTGTCTCCCAGTGTATATTGTGAGGTTTCACCTTAGGGGTTACGATGTTGAATTTTTTACAAGACCTCCTATAAGTAGTAGGCAGTGGTGTTAATGTGGTCTCTAATAGACCTAACCCCTTTTTCCCTTCAGTTACTCAACTTTCAGTTCCTTGTGACTTATAATTTCAGAGTATAGGCATATCATGAATTTCTAAACATGAAAGCAGATCTTTTATGTATCATAAAGAAGTAAAAGGCACAATTGCATCTTGTTCTTTGCTGGTCACTTCTAACAGACTAGACCATAGAATCATAGAATATCAGGGTTGGAAGGGACCTCAGGAGGTCATCTAGTCCAACCCCTTGCTCAAAGCAGGACCGATCCCCAACTAAATCATCCCAGCCAGGGCTTTGCCAAGCTTGACCTTAAAAACCTCTAAGGAAGGAGATTCCACCACCTCCCTAGGTAACGCATTCCAGTGTTTCACCACCCTCCTAGTGAAAGTTTTTCCTAATATTCAAAGTAAATCTCCCCCACTGCAACTTGAGACCATTATTCCTTGTTCTGTCATCTGCTACCACTGAGAACAGTCTAGAGCCGTCCTCTTTGGAACCCCCTTTCAGGTAGTTAAAAGCAGCTATCAAATCCCCCCTCATTCTTCTCTTCCGTAAACTAAACATCCCTGGTTCCCTCAGCCTCTCCTCATAACTCACGTGTTCCAGTCCCCTAATCATTTTTGTTGCCCTCCGCTGGACTCTTTCCAATTTTTCCACATCCTTCTTGTAGTGTGGGGCCCAAAACTGGACACAGTACTCCAGGTGAGGCCTCACCAGTGTCGAATAGAGGGGAACAATCACGTCCCTCGATCTGCTGGCAGTGCCCCTACACATACATCCCAAAATGCCATTGGCCTTGGCAACAAGGGCACACTGACTCATATCCAGCTTCTCGTCCACTGTAACCCGTAGGTCCTTTTCTGCAGAACTGCTGCCTAGCCATTCGGTCCCTAGTCTGTAGCAGTACATTGGATTCTTCCGTCCTAAGTGCAGGACTCTGCACTTACCCTTGTTGAACCTCATCAGATTTCTTTTGGCTCAATCCTCCAATTTGTCTAGGTCCCTCTGTATCCTATCCCTACCCTCCAGCATATCTACCTTTCCTCCCAGTTTAGTGTCATCTGCAAACTTGCTGAGGGTGCAATCCACACCATCCCAGAGTCCTTTTTAATTTTTGTTATTGTCTGAGCACAAGCTCTTGATGGGAACTCCTGAGATCTAATAAACTAACAATCACTTTGTCTTTGGCAAGTCAATTTGTATGCCTCAGTTTTTCCCATTGTAAAATGTGAATGTTGACTCCTGGCTTTTGGGATGAGTTGATACATTTAAGTGCTTTCAAGACAAAGTTTGTATGTGCTTAATGATTTGGGAGCAGTATCAAGTCAGGCTTCCTTGTTGATCAGATAATTGAGTGAGATTCTTTGTGTAACTTTTTTTTTCTATACTTTCCCAAAATATGAGAGGCTCTTGGGCAGAAGAATGACTTTATATTTTTGCATGGGGGGTGAGAACTTTCATCTTTCTGTTTTTCCCCCAAAGCATGAGCCAGCAGCTCAGAAGGCAAATGAGCTGGAAGTAATCTGATGCCTCCTCTAAGGGGTGATGCCCACACCCTGAAGAGGCCAAGGAGCTACTGGGCAGGGAAAGGGGGATGCTTGGGTGGAAGAAGAGATGCAGGAGCTGTCCTGATTTCCCACTGTCTCAGACTCTGGTAGCTCCTGCTTCTGTGTGGGAGAAAGAGTGGCGCATTGGCCCCAGGAAGTGGAGGAGTTGCTAAGCAAGGGCTCAGTGGACCAGGGAATTAAAACCAGCAAGGAGGCAGAAGATGGGGCGGAGCAGAGCAGATCCATTAAGTAATCTGTTTCCTTCTCTTCAGTTGCCCCACCAGGGGGCAGTCATCTCTTAACCATTCCTACTGAGCAGTTCCTTTCCCAGTTCATACAAATATGGAGATGGGACTGGTTATAGGAGCTTTTGATCTGGCTTCCTGCAAAGAGTCCTTAGCAGAATGAGAATTAACAGCTCAGTTTGTTCATACTGCCAGGCATAAAGTGGTCAACTCTATTCTGGTAACTATTTCACTAGTAGAGTTGTTTAATGAAGGGTGCTCCTGTCTTGGATAAATTGTCTAATAATTAATACATTCTTTGACCAATAGTAGAGGACTTTCTAACTCTTAATTAAAATATTGTTACGTTTTTTCTCTGACTTTTAGGTTAATGTAACCCTTCTTGTTGTTCTGAATATGTTCTGCTTTATGCCTTCTTTTTTAGGTGGTTGTGCGTTCCCACCACGTGCTCCTCTTTTGACCTTCAAATAAAATAAGTTAGTAAAGCTCTAGTTAGAGCTGCACACTGTTAGCTCCATTGGCAAACAGACCCTCAACTTCAATTTATTGCTGTTCACCTGGAAAACTTGCACTTAAGTGAATCTAAACTCATCTATTGTGCTCACAAACGGTGAGCATCAGTACCAGTCAATGGGGAAGCATAGGTGTAAGGAAAGATGCTAGAAAGACAGTCATTCTGAAAAACTGTATTAGAGAATGAAATCAGCATATTTCACAGATTGTCACCTGTGTCTTTAATGCAATTGTGGAGAAAGTTAGTAACTGATAGCAGTATGGTCTTGCAGCACTAAAGTCATTGGGAGTGGGACCATGCCCATAGTCTGTAGAGATAACAGGAAGTTTCTAGAGTAACTACAAAGCATGTTACAGAGATAGTGACTAAGACTAAAATTTTGTCATGGGTATTTTTTAGTAAAAGTCATGGACGGGTCACGGACAATAAGCAATAATTAATGGAAGCCCAAGACCTGTCCCTGACTTCTACTAAAAAAAATAAATACCCTGTTGCTGTTGAAGTGACTAGTGTTTGGTCCTGATATTTACATGGCAAGGATTTGTAAAACTGTTAAAACTTCCTAAATAACTTCCTTTTTAAAGGCATGGTCATGGGTAGTCTTCCTATGCAGTAACCACAAGTTATTTACATTCCTGCTGAATTTTAAAAATATATCCAGTTAGTTACAGTTTCCAGTTACAAGTTACAGTCTTCCAATAAAACATTAATTTGTTTTTCATAGGTATAACAAGTTGGGTAGACAACTGGAAAAGTAATGGCTGGAGAACAAGCACAGGAAAAGATGTAATAAATAAAGAAGACTTTGAAAGACTTGATGAGCTTTCGGAGGGAATGGAAATTCAGTGGGTGAGTAACAGGGTGGATTTGATTTTTAAATTCACCCATCCAGATTCAGGTTAACAATTTTACCCTCTAGACCAGGGTGGGCAAACTACCGCCTGGGAGCCGCATCCAGCCCTCCAGACATTTTAATCCGGCCCTCGAGTTCCCACCAGGGAGCAGGGTCCAGGGCTTTACCTGCTCCAGCCAGGGAGTGGGGTCGGAGGCTTGATCCACTACACACGGCTCCCAGAAGCAGTGGCATGTCCCCCCTCCAGCGCCTATATGTAGGGGCAGCAAAGGGGCTCCGCACAGTGCCTACACAGCTCCCATTGGCCAGGAACTGTAGCCCATGGGAACGGCAGGGTCAGGGCAGTGTACAGAGTCTCCTAGCCACGCCTCTGCATAGAAGCTGGAGTGGAGACATGCCGCTGCTTCTAGGAGCTGCTTGAGGTAAGCACTGCCTGGAGACTGCACCTCTGACCCCCTCCTGCACTCCGACCCCCTTCCCCAGCCCTGATCCCCCTCCCTTCCTCCAGATCCCTCAGTCCCAGCCTGGAGCACCCTCCTATAACCCTAGCCGGAGCCCTCATCCCATTCCACCCCAATTTTGTGAGCATTCATGGCCCGCCATACAATTTCCATACCCAGATGTGGCCCTCAGGCCAAAAAGTTTGCCCACTCTGGCTCTAGACCTTTTGCACACTGCTCAATTTCTTTCATATACTTTATCCAGCAATTTGCCTGTGACATCTGCTCTCTTGGGTAGACTGTACCCTGGTCTTAATGACTGAACCATGTTAATGAAGTGTGGGTTCTCAATCACACAGAAAGGAGAGTTTGTCGCATAAACAAACCAGGCAATTTTTTCGTCAGTTACCTTTTTTTTTTTTTTTTGTAATCTGCCGGTTCTTATCACAAATTTATCTATGGTGGTTTTTGGATGACAGAGATTTTTTTTTCCTTTTTGCCACGGGTTATATATTGTGGTCATGTGACATACATGATGTGACTGAAACACTATCATTGGCAGATAACTCTGAAACTATAGAAAATGATGATCTTGAAGGTGGATAGCCTTCAGAATCCTGTAGGTTGAGGATGGATTCTCCTAAACAAAATAAGTCAATGCAGTTATTTAATTATTACCATACTGCTCATTTAGTATTATTCATTGCATTCACTGACACTCAGTACTACTTTAAAGGTGAAATTGTAAGAGGAAGATTAGCTGAAATAGGCAGTTTATTTCTTATCACAACTGCATCAGAAATGGTGGTAGCATAGAGTAACAACTATATTTTTTGCTCAAACATGAGAATTCAAGAAAAGTCCAGAAGGAAGACAGGCAGTCCTTAGGAAAGAAGTATGAAATAAAAAAGTTTACCAGCCTGAAGATCCTGCATGTTCCTTTCATCATCTTCAATGCAGCTTCCTCCTGAGAAGGAACACTTCTCATGATGTTTCATTCGGGCAACCAGGCCTTGTATTTCTTTGTTTGCATTTTGCACACATGCCTGTCTTAACCACAGGTAGAGGAACTTCATTAAAATATTCCCAAACTGGGTCTCTTTTATGGCCTGCTGCCATTATAGGTTTTTCTTTCTAGTGAGAGAATGGTATGGTAGATTTCAAATCAATGAAGGCTACACTCGGAAAGACCTAAGACTTCTGGAATAAGCTGCTCAAACAGGTTCACTTTTGTTTCTGTTGCCTGTCCCTCTGGTCTCACATTTTATCTCCAGACTTCTCCTTGTCCAGTTCTATTCCGCCCCAACAACCTTTTATTCATTGAACTTTTTGAAACTTTGCACTTTTAGAGAGAGGTAAGGGATTGACTCTGTGTACACACATTTGCAGAGGGACAATAGGGTTTGAGATGTGTTACTTCTCACCTCTATATATAATTTATTTATTTTAAAACATTTTTGCTGTTAACAAGCATGTTATCTCTGGAGACACAAATCCACAGTTTGAGAACTGCAAAACTGAGCATCTCTGATGCTGAGTCCCATTGGGTAAATAGAAGATTAACCTAAATAATCTGTCCAGAAGCCCCTGGAGGCCCATAAGATTGGGTCCCTAATCCATGAACTATTGGAACTCCTTTACAAAACTTTTCTTAAACATTACATGAATATATTGTCTCATACTATAGAATTAGAATTTATAATCCTTATTCCATGAAGATATCTTTGAGCTATAATGTATCTTAATTAAAACTATCTTTAGATAGTATTTTTTTAAAATTGATTTTTGTGCACCCTGCTGAGTAATTTGGTGTTAAGTGTGACTGAATAAGCACAAATAACTTTTTTATGTACTTTTGCCACTAAATATATTTTATACATTTTCACAGATAAGAGCATCATAAGGAATTTTAATAAATGTAAAGCTACCATGAATCCACATAAGTACCAGGAAAATTATTAGCTCCATCCAAAATAATCAGCAAGATTCTGTTACCAAGTAATTTAAGAAATACACAAAAGGATCTACTAGATTCTATCAAACAATATACTTAAACATTTGCTCATATATTTCCCACCAAGAAAAGCCCCACACTGTTAAATCTCTAGGGTATTTCCAGGAAAAGGGAGCAAAGCTCAGATCTAAACTAGAATACTGAGAAACTAACAGAGGATGGTTAGGCCTGAAGGTCAAAAATTTAAGATAAGAATTCTTAAATTAGTCTTCAGGGGTGTGTAAGTTGACACAGTAAACTTTTTACTTTAGCAGAACTGGTCAGTTGCCAGCAGGGTGCAAAACAAACTGTCTAACTCAGATTTTCTGTGGCACATTCAAAGCTTTTCCAATAATATTAGAAGCATGAATATGGCAGTCCTTAGAATACCCATGTTGGCTCTCAATTTGGTAAGAACTATCTCAAACGTAGAAGCAGGATACAGTAGCTTTTTGCTGAGTAACTAGTGATAGTATTTTAAATTGAGTCTGTAACCTTTAACTCTTCTAGTAGATATAAATTCAGCATTGAGAAGAACATATTGTCCCCGTAGCCACGTTTCTAATTATTCTAAATTTGCCTGTAACCTTCCAAAGATACCTAACTCGGAAACAAATCTCTGCACCATTGCCTTTATGGCTAGTGAAACAGAATCCAAGGAAATGTACCATTAAGTAATCCATACAAAACAATACAGTGGGCATAAGTGGAAACTTTATACTTCTCTTGGGGGATTTTCCTAAAGGAAGTTCCTTCCCTTATTGTACTTCACTGATGTATTCTGTTCAGATGTCAAAGGCTAACTAGATGCTGTCTTCCCCCACCTTGTCTCACTAGTAGAAATATAATCTCCAGGTTGCAGTTAAACAAACAACTTTACTGAACTAAAATTTAAAGCTGTTGTCCTTTATGTAACTTCCCCCTAGCTCTAAACAAAACAAACCTCCAAATACAGCAGAAAATCCATCTGACAGTGGCTGGAGCACTGTATTCTGGCACTTCAGGGAGTCCTGGCTTTATAGGCTTCCCCTCTACACGCCCTCTCCAGTAGTGCTGCATTGGGAATAGAATTGGTGGAACTGTTCAGATTTTAACAAAACAAATCACCACAATAAGAGGAGTGTCCTCTGCTAGTCTGAAAACCAGACAGTGCTGCATTTCATGAACTTGGAACTTATCGAAGCTTACCTACATTTTAATAAATAAAATGGGGCTCTGACTCTGAGATAGGAACCAGTTAAAAGAATCCTAGCTGTGAGAAGCCCTGCTATATACAGAAGAAATCACTTAATGCTCTAGAAAGGTGCTGTGATACTTGGGATTAATAAAGACAGACCAGGTGATCAGATCTCGTGTATTTGGTGTAGTCTCTCTTGACTATTTGAATCTTGATAGTGTTGTGTCAAATAACTGTAGACTTATCTCTCAACAGATGCATGTTCCCGGTCATGCTGGCTTTATAGGAAATGAAGTGGCTGATAGACTTGCAAGAGAAGGAGCTGGAAAACAAAACTCCTAGCATGCTATCAAGACTAGGAAACTTCGTTCTTGCTAACTAAAGACTGTTTAAGCCATAAGACATACTCTTTTCAGTTTGAAAACTTCCTGTTGGAATTGTTCAAAATAAGTTAATTTATCCTTACCTTATTTCTGGTTTAAAAATTTTAAATATATGCTGTCCTGTATAAACACACCTACTTTTTTAGAGTGTTCAGGTTACTTGGTTAATCGCTGCTTTGTTGGTAGAGGCTTACTGAACATTCAAATTTTGGTAAAAGTAAGGTGTCCAGTGTTTTTAGTTCCATTTGCCACAGTACCTGTTAATTTTTTTAGATGTTCCATAACTGAGAGAGAACTTTAGGTTTTATAAAGTATAATTGTTTCAAAAAGTTTATGAAGGGAAATATGTTGCAATCTGAATGATAGACGTTTTCCCTTTACCAAGAGTATTGAAATAAATTTAAACTTGATAGGTTTGTCACTGTTTTTAAGCAAATAGTTTAGAAAATACTGAAGTGCAATGGCAATTATTTGAACTGCATAATCCTATAAAACATAACTTCCCCCACCGCACCTCCTCAAATGCTAATAAGTGTTTGTTTGTGTGTTAGCTCCTAAGAGTATTAGGGATGTAAATATTGGTTAAAAAAGTTAACTGGTTAATTTTGATCATTTAACCGGTTAACCATTAACCTAGGTTGCTCAGGCAGGCAGGGGCTGAGCTCCAGGTGGCCCGGGGGCCCGCTCCAGGCAGCCCAACGTGGCCAGCCGCTCGTCAGGATAAACGGTTAAGATGGTTAAGGCCCATATAACAGTAAGCCTAATGCTTACTGGTTAACCTTTTACATCCCTAAATAGTATCCGTATAAGCTGCTGTAAAGTATTTGTTCGTCCAGACTTGCAGACGTAACAATCAACAAAGCAGGCTGCAGGGAAGTATTAGACAGGTTTCCTTTTCCAGCCACTTGAATTTCAAGTCCCCTGTAGACTTTGCTTCCAGCTTCTTCCTGAAGCAACCTCGAACTGGCCCCTAGTCAGCTATTGCCATCACAAGATGGGCTCCTGAGTGACTTCATACTGAAAACTGCCATGTTGACTGTTACATTGTCTTACACCTGTTCACTGAGAGTGATTGTTTCACACTCTAATCCATGTGCATTCTGGTGATTTTCATGCTGGTCAGAGTCTTATCTACATATAACCATATCATGTGACATACTACTTGATTCCTGCTTTTGCAAATTTGTTCCTGTGCCACATTTGAGTTCCCACTGTTTTTTCTGCCCCCTGCTTCTCTAGCACTACCATGATTTTCAAGTTATTTTGCTGGTTTTCCCCTTCTTAAACCTTCGTAATTTTTGTTCTGTTTCCCTCTCCCCTATGTCTGTCCCATTCTTCTTTCCCCATGAACAAGAATTTAACACATTGTGCTCTTTGTCCTGACATGCTCACCCCCTCTCTTGCTCCACTGTTAACCCCATTCCTGCCTCATTTCTATTCTTTTCTCTCTTTACCTATCATCTGATTCTGCTGACCTCATTCTAATTGATTTCCTTTCTTTCAGTCCCGTTCCAAACATACTTGACTGCTCATAATCTCTATACATTGCTCTCTACCTTAATCTGTTTTCATGGTCATTCTTCCATATCGGCCCCTTTTTTTTTTTTTTTTTGGCCCATATATCTTACCCTCTAAGATGCATTTGGCTCCTGTTTCTAGCCCCTTCCCATGCCTCTTTCTTCCCCCCCTTGGTGGAATCCTCTATGCCATCCTAGCTTCACTTCCTGCCTCTCCCCTCTGTTTCCCCTATATTATTCGATGCTGTTTAAGTTTGTTTGATGCTCTGACACTAAAGCTTTTCCTCTTTCTGACATTCAGTAGTGGATTGACACTTAGCCATCAACTCGGTCATTCACTTGGCGGGTTCTGACCATTGCCACCTTTCCTCAGCATCAGTCATTCCTCGTCAACCTTGAGACATGCTGTTTAATTCACCTTTTTGTCTTTTCCCTCGCAATAGCAGGGGATCCTCTATAGCTACACCCTCTTTGTTGCATTGCTGTCACTTTGATCCTTTTCCCATCTGAACACCACCTCTATGCTAGCATTTCTATACTTACTAAAATTTTGTTCTTTAAAATATCAATTTCTTTAAAATCCTACATTCTTAGAATTATACAATATGAAAAATTATCTTCAAATGACATGGGCTGTGTCTAAATTGGCGTCTTGCCCCAAATCCAGTCATTGGTATAAGCTGAACCACTCATTTCTTATGTAGATGGGCAAAGATAGTCATTTTGGCACTTATTCCACTTGAAACCAGGATAAGCTCCACTGCTCAGAACGGCTTTGCCTTCCTATGCTTAGGGATTATACCATTTAAACCACATGGATGACTATAAAGGAGCAAATCTCCACTCTAGTCAAGGCCTTTATTAAACTCAGCTGTAGAGTTCCCTACATGGTGTCTTGCTGATACATTAAACATTTACTTTCAAAGTGAGCACTGTAGGCTTTGATGGGTAAACTGGACTTTTCCTGCATTACAAATCACTATCACTGGCTGAGGTTCAGCAGGCCTGATTATAGCTTCATACCTGTGCAACTGCTGTATCTCTAAGTGGATTCACACTGGGGTTACTTGAGGGTAATGTTGGCTTCAGAGATGTATTGCAGGGTGTATGTGGCCTGCAGAACTTCTGCTAGCATTCATGGTTCATCAGACAGTTTACCATAGTTGCCAGCTCAAAAAAAACAAACCTCGAGTCCATTTAAATTCATGTAAGAACCCTATTCTAATAGTCACTTTGGGTGAAAATGCAGCCTTGTGTATTGGAGGTTTAATTCCAGCTTAACTTTGTCAGGGAGCATTTATAAAAGCCTTAATTTTACTGGTTTAATAAACTTTTTATGCTTCCTTAGTTCCAAGTTAAAAGAATATTATGCCTGTAATGTAAGCACTCAAAAATTGGGAAATCTGAGAATTAAGGTTGCCCGTGTAACCTTACTTTGGTTCCCTTGTGTGTAGGCATTGGCTGTTTTTAATTAAATGACCAGTTCCTAATTTTTCCATATGTCCCCCATCCAGGAAATTCTATCCAATCGAATGCCACCCTGGAAATTTGGTTGGATTCTTTCTCTCCCTCTGCTTCAAAATTTTTGTATAATGCTGGGCAAGTCACTTGAGCCACAGAAAAGCTCATGAATAAACAATTTTGTAGTAGGCCTAGGATTTAGATGGTGGGCTGTAAATAAAGCCAAAGCCACACACTTGAGCAATGAACAGAACTAATGGAAATATTGAACAGCCACCTATGTGGCAGGGATACTGTGGCAAAAACAATGCAATCATGTAAGTGAAGTCACTAATATGTACACAAAAAGTGGACCAAATAAAGATGGAACAACCTTAATTCTGGGATTTCTTAACTTGAATTCTTGACTTTGCATTCTTGACACTGCTTTAGCATAGCTTTATGTAATTATATGGGAGGGGAGAGGGCCTTTCTGAGGAATCATCAACACTCTACATTTATGCTGTGTACAGCAAGCACAAATGCTTCTAAGCATCTCTTCTACAGTATTTCTGCCTTTTTTTCTTCATCAAACACCAATCTATAGTGGCCCCTTAGAATATACATTAACTGCTTATGCTAAACAATCTGTTCCACCTTGCATTTAGCTGACCCACAGAGGACCTTTCCCAGACCTGAAGAGCTCTGTGGCTTGAAAGTTTGCCCCTCTCACCACCAGAAGTTGGTCCAATAAAAGATACTACCTCATCAACCTTCCCTCCCCCGTGATTAGTTTGTGATGTTGGAGAGTTGCTAGAGGGGATTTTGTGTATTACACCTGCAGTATATGCAGGCTCCAATTTTGAACGCTGCAGGCTGCGCATCATAGCCATTTAGAATTTCACAGCAACAGTGTAAATAGACCTCTCATCCTACTCCAGACCCACAGGCTGGCACTGGAGCTAAAAGAGAATCTCTGGTATCACTGAATGGCCAAGGAGACGCAGATAGGAGGCTCTTGATTTCATTGAACAGATGGCAGTTCTTATAGTTCGACAGCAGCTTTCATCCAAAATTTCAAAGCACTTTACAGACATCACTTCTCACTCGATCCCTGCAAGCATTATCTTCCTTAGTACACAGATGGGGAAGCTGAAGCAGAGATGTTAAGTAACCTGATTGGGGGGGAGGGGAGAGGATGTACAAGGTGAATCTGTGATAGGGCCAGGATTGTAGAACTGTACATAGAAATGTAGAACTGGAAGGGACCTTGAGAGGTCATCTAGTCCATTTCCTTGCACTGAGGCAGGACCAAGTAAACATAGACCATCCCCGGCCCACCTGTTCTTTAAAACCTCCAATGAGGGATTCCACAACTGCTGACTGAATTTTGTGGATGAATTGGGGCACCAGAATGAGTCCTCGGAGTCTGCATCAATGGATCTTGATGGTAGCCTGTGAGAGTCTCAGAAGTCCCACAGTGTGCCAAACTTCTCCTCACAGTCTGTCTTTTATACTCTGTTGTGTTGTCTTATCAACCACACTGTTTGTGCACTTTTCCTATTCTGGAACCTTCTCTCTCTTGCTTGCTACGTTCTTGCCCCCTTCTCTTTAACTAGTTCTACCCAGTCTCAGACAGTTTTACCATGAGCTTCTGTAAGGTGTAATTCTGGACCATTTAGAGTCAGGCTAACCCCCTTTTAATCTACAACAATTCCCTCCTTGGCAGCCAATTGATTTCAATTAAAGTGGTATGGGGCAAGCATCCACCTCCTCAACACCTAGCACGTTGCAGACATCAGTGGAGCATAATAGGTCTTGGTGGCAACTCTCATATCCCAATCCAGTTCTGCTCCAGCTACACGATGAGGCGATGTGTGATATGATATTCTTGGTTTGTCCACTCGAATTGTCACTTTACCTGCCTTATCCAACAATATATACATATTAACACAACTAAAATTACAATTTGTAATAATATTATAATTGGATGTAAAAAGACATCAAACATCTTAGTTGCAGTAGGGAACCATCCCCAGTGTTTCCCACCACTGATGTTCTCTAACCTTTTTTACTTTCTCTAGTATTTGTTTTATGTTTTCACCATTATGGTGTACAGTAACTAAAATTTTCTTTGCAGGCTCTTTAGCCTTTGTTAACCATGTAAATTCTGATGTTCTAGAAGTTCTGCTATTAATGACAAATTCATACCAATGAACGTGAGGTGTGAACCTCTCTTTCCAAGATGAAGGTCCGGAATGCCATCAGATCTATTTTTTTATTATTTTTACCCCATCCCTCCCTGCCACGGACCCTATAGTAAAAAGAGAATCAATCATAGAATATCAGGGTTGGAAGGGACCTCAGGAGGTCATCTAGTCCAACCCCCTGTTCAAAGCAGGACCGATCCCCAATTAAATCATCCCAGCCAAGGCTTTGTCAAGCCTGACCTTAAAAACTTCTAAGGAAGGCAATTCCACCACCTCCCTAGGTAACACATTCCAGTGTTTCACCACCCTTCTAGTGAAAATTTTTTTCCTAATATCCAACCTAAACCTCCCATTCTACAACTTGAGACCATTACTCCTTGTTCCGTCATCTGCTACCACTGAGAACAGTCTAGAGCCATCCTCTTTAGAACCCCCTTTCAGGTAGTTGAAAGCAGCTATCAAATTCCCCCTCATTCTTCTCTTCCGTAGACTAAACATCCCCAGTTCCCTCAGCCTCTCCTCATAAGTCACGTGTTCCAGTCCCCTAATCATTTTTTTTGCCCTCCGCTGGACTCTTTCCAATTTTTCCACATCCTTCTTGTAGTGTGGGGCCCAAAACTGAAAACAGTACTCCAGATGAGGCCTCACCAGTGTCGAATAGAGGGGAACGATCACGTCCCTCGATTTGCTGGCAATGCCCCTACTTGTACATCCCAAAATGCCATTGGCCTTCTTGGCAACAAAGGCACACTGTTGACTCATATCCAGCTTCTCGTCCACTGTAACCCCTAGGTCCTTTTCTGCAGAACTGCTGCCGAGCCATTCGGTCCCCAGTCTGTAGCGGTGCATTGGATTCTTCCGTCCTAAGTGCAGGACTCTGCACTTGTCCTTGTTGAACCTCATCAGATTTCTTTTGGCCCAAACCTCCAATTTGTCTAGGTCCCTCCGTATCCTATCCCTATCCTCCAGCATATCTACCTGGTAACATAAGAGCATCTCCCTAAAGGGCCTAATCTTGAAAATTGTTCTGTCCCTTTGTGGAGATGTGGCTCAGCAGTGGTGCAGGTATCCATCCATGCAAAGCAATTTGCCCAGTCAAACCTTATGTCTCCTTCCCTACAGGCACCACCCAGAGGTGGGGGAGGAGGAGATTATGAAAATCAGAAAAATCCAGGTTACACAAACATTTCTTCCTATGAGTAACCATGGTTGACTTTTAACCACTTTTCTCTCACTTCAGTTAACCTCGATACATGGTGAAATTTTCAATTAACAACTGACTTGTAAACACTGGTGATGTAAACATAAAATCACAACCTTCAATTTTTATGACATTACAAACATTGGGATAATTATATATAGCTTGATTATACATTCCATTAATTATCACATATTTATAAATAGTTCTAAAACACACATCTTTTTCCTATTTACACCACTGTTTTCCTATCAGTCTCTTCACGATGTACTTCAAATGGCACACTCCTTCATTATTATTAAAACATGCATTGCTGATCTTAAAAGCAGATTCTTCTCATATAAATCCTAATCCTTGATCTACAACACAGGCTTCTAAATCTACTGACTGCCATTTATCATTGTGCCATACAGCCCATACCCTCTATGGCAGGGGTAGGCAACCTATGGCATGCATGCCAAAGGCAGCACACGAGCTGATTTTCAGTGGCACTCACACTGCCTAGGTCCTGGCCACCGGTTCGGCGGGCTCTGCATTTTAATTTAAATGAAGCTTCTTAAACATTTTAAAAACCTTATTTACTTTACATACAACAATAGTTTAGTTATATATTATAGACTTATAGAAAGAGACCTTCTAAAAATGTTAAAATGTATTACTGCCATGCGAAACCTTAAATTAGAGTGAATAAATGAAGACTCAGCACACCACTTCTGAAAGGCTGCTGACCCCTGCTCTATGGTCCATTGGATAAAGTACAGAACCCTTTCAGTTAATATGTAGGACTACAATGGGATACACCTTTTCAACGGTAGCTTCTGCTATTGTCAATACATAGGCAACGATTGATGTTAATATTATAAGTAAAATTTACTAATCTCCACCGAGCTTGTAACTGTCGCTCCTTTTGTGTGGCAGCATCCCATATGATTTTCCAAATTTCTACAGGTAAAATTCCATTGTGCCATCTCTAAGATTTATGACAACATTTTGTACCCCGGCTTGCATGCAGCTTAAGGCCAAAGAAACACTACGCTGTTTAACACCAAGAGCCTTCACAACTAATTGGTCATCTTGTTCATTTATCTTTTCGCATTCTGGCAAAACATATTAACCATTCACCCATTCTCAGTTCTGATAAGGATGAGTTTGAAGGTTTCAACAAGCCTTGCATCCTGAATGTTGCAGCTTCCAACTTATTTGTCCATTTTTAATGACCAAACTGGCCCAGTTAGCAATTCTTGTACATGATCACGCTTTACCACAGAGGGTCCTATTTTTGAAACATTACAGGGAAGGGCAGGAATTATTGAGAATTCTTCAATAAGCTCCTCAGGCCCTCATATCTTCCATGGACCCTTTAAGCTCGAAGTCATTAGCGCACCCATGCATCCTTTACACAGACATATAAGGCTATTGGAGGAGTGCTACATTCACCATTACCTGTCTCCCTATTTTACCACAGGCCGCTGGTATTTAGTTGGTTTGCTCAATATATTTGGTGCTCTTTCACATAATTCACTCTTATTTTAGTTACATTTCCCAGTGAGTACAAAGGTTTCCTGCAAGGCTGTATCGTAAGTGGTATCTGCTGGGGAATATCTTATCTGTAACAGTATAGTTTGTCCTATTTTGGCCCAATGGGGCACATACCAGGACAAAAAAGACAAAGAAAAGTGTACTTTGCCACATACAACTGTCCATGCTACTTTGTTTACTAATACAAACAATTAAGTCACATTAAGATGATATTCTCTGTTAATGTCAAAGCACATGCTTAGTTCCATTATCTCCTTTAGTTATTTGCACAGTAGAATTTAAAAACATATCCACCCTCTCGTTATTTGCACAGAATTTAAAAACATATCCTCCCTCTGGTTAGTGCCCTGCCACATACAACTAACTATATCACACTGTTTTCTAGTCCAAAAACTTACATTGAGCCCGCATTTGCTCTCAGCATCTGTATTACAGGTGAAAAATTAGGGCAG